AACAGAGATGTCGAGGCGAGATAGATCATGGCCAACGGTGTATGACCTACCTGCAACGCTCACGCTTCTGGTGCAGGTAACATCATCTGATCTCAAATGTACACTTCCAATGCAGGTTGCATTGAAAACAAAGATCGAATTGTTAGGTGGCCCTCCTCCATTTTGGGAACTTGTTATGATCCCTGGGTTTTAGCGGCCTCTTTCCTAAGCAGCCCTGCCCAACGCTAAAGTATTGTTGGCTTATACAAGCTCAGGAAAATGGGGCTTATATATAACTGTTCTCATATGTTAGATACCAGCAGCTTACCAAGCTCTGACACGGGCTAGATAGATACATATGAAAACTCCGTATAGTCAGTCATGTTATCATAAAGTCGGCACAAAACCTTTTTTGAAAGCGAAGCCTTTCACATACTTTCATACTCAGCCAATTAAGGCAAAATCTTGGTCTAGTTAGCATGCAGTATACAAACAGATCTGCAAGTCGCCAAAAAAGCATCTATCGATGCCCCTACGAGGCGTCAGCTCATAAGAATTGATTCAGCGCAGCAGAAATAGCAAAACACCTCACCGTCAGTGTGTTGCGTGAAGTTACCGACTCACCTTCCTCCAGGACCGAAGGGGATTGCGCTTCACAGCTTCACTGATTCTGAACAAAATGGCACCGTTTCGACTGAAAAATTTTCGGAGGCTAGGCTCTACTACAAGCGGTCACCGTGAACATGTGCACGCGGATCTGATAAGTTCACAGCAACAAGTATAACTTCAGCCCTACATTCTGTAGAGTTGAGTTGTGGAGCTGTACAAATTTTCTTCCAATTAAAGCGCAAATCTGCTTATTGCTTCATGAGTCTCATACGAAAAATCAAGTGGCGCATTGTTCTCGAATATCGATGTTTTGCAGGCGAAGTTCAGATTAAAATTGCATCTCTTCTAACGCTGATCACAGGTATTGTAGATAGACGATTTGTTCCGCAGGACGGAATTTGAGTTTATAGCAAATGCATGCGGTCCTATACTAATAACGTTCCAGTTTGGAAACGCATCAAAAACACGGACGTTACAGCTTGCTTGCACCTTCATTAGAAGTGAGCTGCTCGCAGGGTGAATTCAGTAATGATCGAGGAATACAGAGTTACTTTTTTCTGAGGAGAATTTCAACCGCTACGATTTTAAGCAAAAAAAANAAAAAAAATAAGCGATCAAAAGCTATTTTGCCGTCATTTTTAAGCTGCCACCGAAGCTCTTCATGATTTCGCCTGGAGAGAAGAATCGGAAGCGAACTTACCATTAAAGAAGGACGTGCTATCTTTTTTCTGGGTGCTAGTATTCCATAAAAAAGTACTCATCACGCTCTAACGTAATTAAGTGGCTCCAAAAAACTACAGTGCGTTTCATAAGTATAAGATCACCCTCAAAATTGGTGTTTGCAGAATAAGCAGCCAAGCAGACAAATTTTAAGCAATACTATCAGCCCTGGAATTCACCACCCTGAATAGCCCCGACGCACGAGCATTTTTCGAATCAACTTCTACAACAACACTTTCATAAAAAACTTTTAGAACTTTGCGCCGTTTCATGAGCATAATATCGCTTTGAGAATTTGAAAAAAACACAATTATAACGACAAAAAAACATTTAGTACTCGATGGGTCTTCCTTGTTCTAGCTAACTATCGAATAGCCTACATGGCATACTCCAAACAATGTTTGGAAAGACATCCAAGAAGATTTCATTCCAAGATTCAAGTACTGCCTGCTTGGGCTCTTCTATCGTCTGGAGCTTACGGTTGCTTGCATGCATTTTTCTATAATGATGCCTTAGAGATTCTTCATCGGGTCGGATCAGATCAGATCGTGGCTGCAAGCTGGCCAAGTCAGAGCTTCAAAATTTTTGAAAAAAAAACAATATTTCGTGGAATGGCTGACGTGAATCGCAGCACTGTCTTGTTGAAAAACGTGATTAAGACCACGGTGCCGGCACAGAAATGGCACTGGATGCCATTGTAAAACTTCGTCAAAATCCTTGGAGCTCATTTTAGAGGTCACGAGAGCAAGCTCCATCCTGACATCTTTGCAGGAGGCACCCTGTACCATGACACTTCCTCCTCAAAATTGTGACGATTAGATTTGATCGGCTTTTCTCGAAAATCATCATCAGTAGCTGTAACCATTGGGGCTTCCTAAAACAACTTTCTTTTCATAAAAAAAAACGACCTGAACGAGAATATTGGACTGTATGGCTAATCGGTAAAGCAGGCTGACTTTCGTCCAATCTCATCCCAAATTCAACTTCGCAAATTCAACTCGTGCCTTCCTGTGGTAGTTGGTGGGCAACGGAGACCTCTTCATTGCTGCCCTCACAATCTGCCGCTATTTTTTCACGGCTCCCCATTCACTACTTTTGGACACCGAGAGACCCAACTCCGATCGTACTTTGTTCAACGACAAGGTTCTGTCCGAAATACTTCTTAGTATTCTCCTCTCATCGTTCGCGGTTAGCTTGCGCGGGCATCCTGTCCTCGTGGGGGACTCCGCAGTCTTTAAATATCTTTGAACGGAGCTGAGGGATCTCACGACTCTCCTCCTACTCTCGTACTGAGCCCTGTATCACGCAAATTTCGATTTTGTGCTTTTTCTTCTAAAGGAAGATCACCTCCGCGAGGCAAAGTGCATATTGCTTCCAAACATATTTGCGACACATCTCTCCTATACAGATCATTCCAAGTGCAAATTCTGCTGCACTTGATTTCGAAACCTTCGCGTGGTGATCCTATACTTATGAAACGGCAAAATAATCTAAAATAATCTATATAAATGTTAATATAGAACTTGAGCTGACCAAAGCAGGTTTCGGGGGGTTATCGAGGCTGATGAATCTAATGGTGATGTCAGAAAGATATGTGCTTGGCTGCTTATCCTTTGAATACCAAATTGGAGGGTAATCTTACACTTATGGAACGCACTGTATCCCCCACTTGGGGTCACTGCAGCATGACGGAGCGTTTTTCGGTTACAGTGCTACCAGAGATACATATACGTATATACAGAAGACAGTGACCGTCGTACTGCCATGCGGCAACATCACGAGTTCACGCGTCAACGAGTAGCATGGTGAATTCACAGGGAAGTTGAAAAATAATCTCGAACAGTAGAAAAGACATCAAGGATTAGAATTTATGTGTGAGGGCTGAAAGTATTCTCGTTTGAAATTAATACAGTAAAACAGAAGCATATTTGTACAAGCTGGTAAAGAGAATATCACAGACATTTTGCTACACTCTTGTACGCAATATTTCAACATGCTCCATAACCATGCAAATTAACAAGACGGATTTCAAAGTCTCATGAACGGTTAAGCAGTAATCTGACGACACGCAAGCGCCCCCAAACACCCGCCACATATACGACGCACCAAAAAGGTACCTTGGGTGATGCTCAAGGGTGAGTAGTGGTGCACTGGGGTGGAAGTTACTGCATCACACGTTCACGAGACTCTGAAGTCTGACTTGTTGCAAAATAAATGTATGAGGAGAGCACACAAATGTAACTGGAGGCGTTTGCTTATTATAGCAAAACAAGGGACAAGACATTCACAATATTCTACGAGATATTCACAAAGGTTGTTCCACAGTCTCACTATGACTATGTCCAATAAGGATGAATGAGATGAAATGAAAACTTCTGAGATCTGATAGAAACCGATAAATGGGAGCCTAGATAAGCATCGGTTTTGATCCAACTTCAAGTATATCTGCAAACAAGTGGATTTAAGGTAACGTTCAATTTCAATTTCGCAAACTGCCTACCATTCCCGATTGATGGCACCTGCCTACTGTCGATCGAACGTTGTTGGGTGAACTGGAACCAGCTATTTTCTACTAATCGCTGAGGCAACCACAACGCGTGTATAACGGAACACTTCCCACCTTTTGTTCATAAATGTGCTCCGATTGCTTATTCGAAATGATGTACTGCTGACTGAGAGACATCGATGGAAGAGGCGGCAAAGCATCATCGAACAATGGATAGTCGCTTGGCTATAAGAAATAATGACGGCTCAGAGACACCTTTCACAATTATTCCAAGGCAACGGTTTTAAGTTTGATAATAGTTCATCGATGGCGAAAAAAAGCGAGGAAGTCAGCAGTATGCGCGAAATTCGAAGATTTCCAGAACTAGTAAGTTCAGTGAGCTTTGGGGTAAACAAGCACACGCCGGCAAAAATGGTGATCGGACAAGATTTCAGTCATGTGGAATTGCGTAAACTATAAGAGCCACACTGCCGAAAACTGCTTTTCAATGCCGCTGTGTGATCACCATGGCCCGGAAAATTAGCTGCTTGCAGATTCAACATATGTTTGTGCTTACTATGAATGATGAACCCTCTACAGGGAACTTAAAGCGGGGCCGCTTCCGGGTGTGGCCGCTGACGGAGCTGGAGCCTTTTGCGTCCTATCGACCGTTTTTCAGAATGTCAGCGCCTAACTTTGCACGCTTGGGGGAGCGGAGATTTACTAATAGGAAATCCCAGGACTACTTTTATTCTGAGATGTGCCTTCGAGCCGGACAGATTAATAGATTAGCAAATGAGCCTAGTAAAGGCTTCTGAACGTGAGGAATCTATAGACCGTATTGGTATTTATCCTACTGTTGATAGGTCAGGGTCATGGTGGGTCTTCTGGCAAATAATTTGATGGCCATCGATGGATCTTTCTGGATGGTACCCTTATTGCATTTATTAACTCTCTGAGCCTTCTGTGTTGTCATATATTTTAATGCCAAATTCAGAGCAGAAACGGTATCCTGGTGAGTGGCTGAAATTTAGGAATATTGAGAGGTGTAATATGTTAAGAATTTATGCACTTAAGTACGGCTCAGTAGATACCACGAGCTCGAGCGAACTCATAAATTTTTGCGATGAACTACTTAGATTTTGGAAATACTGTGTATGGCTGAATGAAGCAACACCACATCACATTCGCAACGCAACTGCAATGATCAGCAGCTAACAAAACAAATTATACTGAATGGACGGAGATCCGAAAAAGCCAGCGTCTTGCTGTTATGTGGACATACCTGACTAATAACAGTAATCATGGCCCTATTGACAGCTTTCGCGATGCGCGATTCAACCAGGTACACCATGTACTCGTCGGTAAGCAATCGAATTAAGTGGAATGACCCAAACGATCCAGCTGACCGAAGTGTTAGATCTCGGATCAACATCGAACTAAAGGCGATAAGTTGACGTTATAATTTTGAGGATGCTCCTCAATCAACTTACGTGTAGCAGCTCCAATTCAGCAAAAACTGCTTGCCTATCTCAGAGATAATCTGCACGGGCTTGTCGTAGTACTTGGCAAGAATCTGAAACCTCAATACGAGTGAACAGCTAAGTAGCTAAGCACTAGCACTACTCGTGTCGTTGTTTTTAATTTTACTATTTGGTTGGAAAAACCTTCATATGGGCATCAAAAAACGTCAGTTTTTTTCTATTAACTCTCTCAGAATTGCATTCGCTTTTCCGTTTTACATAGCTTATCAAGTTTGATATTCATTTCTGGATACGTTCACTTGGTCTCGAAAGCTAGACGGTCTTCACAGAAACAAAGGGCTCGTAGCACCTGAAATTGCTGATAGAACCCCGGCATATTTGGAACACGACTTCCTTTGAAGTTTAGTATTCACAACTATTCCATCCCTCCGGGTCGGTGAATTGGTACCAGACTTGTCTGGGAGGATAAAAGCACTGACTCGTACTTCGGCTGGCCACCGCAAGTCGTTGTATCGACCACATACGCACTCTACGCCACTACGATTCTGAATGGAAGTCGAGTGCGGGGGCGCATCCCTCAGACCGGATTAATTAACGCCAAAAACTCTATCATCAACTTTACTTTTATTCACAACTATGCAAGGTTGTGAATAAAAGTAAAGTTATTTCAAAATCCATGTCATCATTCTCTATTTTGGAAACCAAAAGAAAATTCTGGAACTAACCAGCGTGTCAGTCGCTCCACTTTCCTTAAAAATCATAAAAAATTGAGCAAATTCTTGTTCAGCATTACTTTTTGGTTATAATCTAATATTTTATTCACATATGCGCAATTTCCTACCTGATCTACGATACTTTCAAGCCATTCAGCCCATTCCTCCATTGGTGCCATTTTCTGCAGGTTGTCTTTGAAAGCATTGTGTATGTGGTGAACCATTAATGGATCACATCCGCTTACCCAACCAGCTTGTTCTTGCACTTGTTGCATGTCAACCCTAAAATTCATTAGGCTTTTGGAATCAAATGAGAGACTGGGAATTCCGAGGTTACCTGATATAGTCATTGTACATTGCCATAACTTGATCTGGCTTCTGAAGCACAGCACGAGCAGCTTGGGCTAGATGGTTCAACGAAGTGTATCTGAAGTTTTTCACGTAATGCACGACTATCAATGAAGCAAGTTGACCGACACCTTCTGAGTCCTTGCGCCATGTACTTGACGGCCTGGATCTTCTTCTTCTGAATGATCTCTGGAGCTCCTTGCATGGCCTTCTTCAAGTAGTGCTCGGCATTTTTTGCAAAGTTTCGGCATGACTGGGTGAGAAGCGCTGTAATGATAATGCTATGTAACGGCTTTACCCGAACCCGACTTCTAGACCCTTACGAGACATGTTGCTCATCAGCACATCAGGCACAAGAATGTCGACGATAGTTTGGTAGAAAGCCAAGTCCAAGCTGATAATCCAATGCTGAATTTGTGGAAGGGTGCAGAGCGAGAAGAGTTGTTGCTGAGAAAGGCGCGCCTGGCCGAGAGTTTTGCTGAAAACCACTGGCATTTCATTAAATATAACGGAAAAGCGCTGTTAACCAACTCTTCATCTTCCAGATCGTCTTCGGGTTGCCAGAATGCAGCCCAGTACTCTTCAATGTGTTCAAATTGAAGTTGCTTTACGCAGTAGAGGACCTCCTGAAAAAATATTATGAAAATAGTGAGCATTCATGAAAGCAACGACAAAGTTAATGACATGATTATAAAGGAAACAGTGAACGTGAAACCATGAAAGTTTTCAAGAGTAGAGGATTCCTCCAGGTGAAGCCATTGTGAACGTTTATTTACTTATTTATTTATTACATGTGAAGCATGTGTGGTTGCCAAATGGCTACAGAAACAAAAGCACAACTAGATACACACGAAATTTCAATATAATCAAGAATTGTGGTCCGGTAGACCTTCGTTGGAATCTTCACTAAGATGGGTTTTGAGGGCATTTGCCGATTTAGGGAGTGGGACAAGCTTAGTCAAGCGACTGTATACTGATTCAACGCGATTACAAGGAATTTGTGCCCAAGATCTGAATGAGCTGCATTCAACTTCATCAATACAGTATAGTAATATTAATTAAAAGAATTGTTGATTCCGCACGTTTGGATGGACGAATGGAGCGAGATTCATATTTGGAAGCTAGAGTTCTTTGGAAATACTTCTTCAACCAAAAACGGAACTCACCGAACAGTTATGGTTGTAGGCGTTGACAAACATGACGACATGGGCTAGTTCGAGCCCAAGTTTTGGCAAAGCTTCAATCAAACCGTCAGATTGTGGCGTTTGGATGAACGGTACTTCCCCACTGCCGAGGGACAGTCGGTCCAATTCCGATGCTGCAATGAACACGACAGATTCACAATCAATGAGCTATTAAGTCGGATATCAAAATACAGCTGTTTTGTAAAAGTGAACATTTCGTATGCCCCTTAATTCCAAGGTCAGTTGGAGGGAATATTTTTCTCTGTCGTGACCTATCTTTTGTTCTCTCATCCGCGTTTATTTCTGTTAATGTTGTGGACATAAATGGGATTCAAAGTTGATAAAAAAGAACTTAATTGACTTCCGTTTCTTTTTTTGCTCTCAACAAAGGTTTCATGGCGGCAGAAGCTGCTCGGAACACTTGTGCTATTTGTGAAGAGAGCGCGTTATTGAAGGACCAGCTCGTGGTAGTAGGTTCATATTTCAATTCCATGAACGGAAACCTCAAAGGACGCGCATCTGACCGTCTAGTAAAATTTGATGAAGCGAAAATGAACGATTTTTGTGTGAGAGTTTCGTTTAAACGAAAAAGGAAATGGAAAAGAAAATGGAGCCCTCCCACGTCACAATTGGAAAAACATCTTCACTCGATGTTAAAGGATCTGAACTGTGAGAATCTTAACTTGCTTAGCATGGGTTTCGAATTTCTGAACTCAGAGTTTGGTTGGGTGAATTTTTCGAGTCGAAGTAACGTGTTCTCTAGTAAGGAGACCTCGTCAAGCAAAAAACTTCTACGTAGCTTGAAAAACTACTTCTGAGAAATAATAAAGGTTGAAAATTTGGTTGGAAGCTAATACATCGAGTGCTTGCACGGTTAATGATTTCTTTTATCCCATTTATTGTAGAGCCGAGATTACTTGTACAAGCCTCACAGACAAAATAGTTGAGAAAGACCAAGTCTCCTACCGTCACTTCTAGAATGGTGGCCGTTAACAACCGAGGGCGGTGGCGCGTTCGGCGACTGTCGAGGTGCGGGACTGCTGAAAATATTGCTGTATTTTGATGACTCCTTTAGAAACATTTCTGACTAATTGCGTGTACGCGTGTGGATGAAGACACCTTCCCCTTGGACAGCTTCTATTATAGGTTGGCAAGGAAGTCCTGCGACAAAATGGAAGCCACTTTGAACTCGTTTCCAAAATTTTCCAGGTCAATCGCATTTTGGAAATGTATTCACCAGAGATCAACGAAAGATCCTCTCCTATCCTTCGAGCTAATCACTGATGCCTTTTATCAATAAGTCATGAAGATGTGATTCGGAGAAATGATTGATTGTTTTTGGATCACGTTAAGTTATGAACTTTTTCCCATGAAGAGACGCCTGAGAACGCAGTGCTGGGGCTGTAAGAAGGGGCAACGTTCCGGAAGTACGACTGATGAACACGAAGCGAGTAGATGAAATTTTGAAATTTTACAGCGAACTTTCAACGTGCGCTGTCTTCTTGTAAGGACCACGAACAAGGTTTTGCCCGTCTTTCTCTTATCGCCCAAACACTGGCGTTCATAGGGTTAGGAGACAGCTGTGACTATCTGGTCTACGCTTAGCAATCCATGATGGATGGGTCCTTTCACAGCGCGGAAAACAATGATACGATGCTTGCGTTACTTCGAAAGCTAATATCTCCTGCAGTAACGCAGTCCCATCGATTGTTGATCAGTGAACAGTGCTAGCATCCAATAGGTTGCTGATAATTGAAGCCGCTACACCTGCGTTTCTCCCTTGGAATGCCCGGACGAAGGTGATGGTACGAATCTGGTGTTGTCCATTCATTGGCGGTAATGCTGCGGAAGCTCATGCGTGTGTCCTTGTTTGTTTGCCAGGGAAATGCCTCAGTACTTTACCACTTCAGCTACCGTTATCTCAGCGTTCATACAAATTTTTGAGGCTTCGATTTTTCGTCGCAGAACTTTCTTGTCAACCCTACTATAAGTTGCACTCGAGATTAACGAAGGAGAGTGCGTATCGAGATCAGCAATTTTAAGAATGTGGGCCTTTACTTCTGTTCTTCTGCTTCTTCTGGAGATACTCAGTAATTCATACTCGGATTTAATCTCAGCTGCTGCTAGAAAGTAGCGTAAGTCGAGCAGGCAGCACACTTATGGTTGGTAATATTCCTCGCAGTGATAAAAATATGAGATGCTAAATTAGACTTACACTACCTAAAAATGTAAGATGTTGTATTAGCTTTACACTATCTTCCGAAAAACTAACTTTCTGTGGTCTTTTCAAAAGTTCTCATGAAGGATTCAGGCCCCACACCACAAATAAGTGCAGAATGCTTAGCTAGCTACCTGGACGCACGTGCTTGGGAGGCTGTTCTCGTTGCTGAAATGCAAAAATCATACCTGCTTGCTGGCCGACTGTGTTGAATGGACATCGCCGTGTTTGGACGCTTGAGGGATCTGCAAAGTGTGAGTCCGCTAATCACACGTGAAGATGGACTCATAAATATGATGGTCTCTATGAGAAACTAAGATAGGGACCGACACTGCTATATAAAACTTACGGCCGACAGATCGGTGCCGATGCTTCGTGTGGCGAATATCGTTCAGGAATGTGGCTCTGCATTAGTGGAGAGTCTGCTTTGATACGAATGCCATAATAGTGGTACTTCGAGTTGCCACGAGTACCAAGCCGTCTAGTCCGCAGACCATTGAACACAGATCGGATCAATTTCCCAAAAGATGCCGCATTCACCGCATCCAGCTTATGTTCGTTACAGTGCCTAGGAATAAGTCATTTCGTACCTGCAGTAATAAATCTTAAATGGAGGAAAAATTTTCGTGTATTCTTCCTCCACAAATATGGTCTCGTCTACTGAAGGTGTCAAAAATGTTCTTTTCAAAGAGTTACTAGCTTAGTTCTTTATGAAGGGTTTTGAAAAAATCAGAAGCCATTTACGAGTTCTAGCTGATTGTACTCATTCAATGAGGGCGAAGGTGTTGCAGTGACAAGTGGCACACTTCACATACGCATGGTCACGGGTTCGAGTTATCATTGTCAGTAAACATTGGCCACTGAAGATTTACAAAGCGGCAACTGAGATTGGCTGGCCGATCATTTCCACAATAGGGCTGGGAAAGTGGAGAGTTCAAAAGTCATCACGAAGCGTCTCTGAAGTTTCCGGATACGTCAGCGCGGAGGGCGCGAGAACTGCAGGAAATCAACAACGGCTAATTTTGCGAGCCTATCTAGAGAAATGATAAAGGAAGATTTGAAAACGTATGAGTACAAGCTCCTGTGGAAGCCCCCCGAAGCCGGGAGAAGCACCAGCAACAGTCATTGAAGCTCGGCCAGGTGCTTGATAGAACAGTCACTGATACTCGACGGGTAGTGAGTAAGATCATCTAGAACTCCCACTCTTGTCTTTTCAACCGTGTACACCTGTTCACTCACCACCTGAAGCAGGGCCGATTTGCCATACCCTCGGCTTTCCCTTTCGAAATTGACAAGCCTCAAAGAAGTTCAGGACGACTGTGGTGTTGTACATGAGAGAGGCCGTTGAAGAGCATTCAGTACGTCAAATACTGACAGCTACCGCCCAACCTGTCTGCTGCATCTGGTTGGTAAAATCTCACGCAAGTCGCTGACGCTTCATATCCACACATTCGCGAGGACTAGTGGGAGTGTGGCTAAAGTACGGGGTGCCGTCATGTTTGGTTTTCATCGATTCGAAGAAGGCCTTTGATGCAGTCAAGTGTTAACTAGAGCTTTGAGCTAGTAAAGTGATCCTTTTCAAAATATAATGAGTTACTCTGAGTTCTACATCAAATTCCGATAAGCATCTCGCCTTTTACGAGGAATTCTTGGTCAACGTGTATAGGGGGTTCAACACGGTGATACCATCTTGCCCGAACCTTTCGGTGCCATTCTCATTTTCCACTTGGAATGGGAATTGGTGGAAGTGGAGGTCCGTTATTTGAATATTCTCCGCTCTGCAGGTACGAGCATCTCTGAGTGCTACAGCCACGAATGCGTGGGTTAAGAGTCGATACGACGATTGACTTAGCTTTAGAAAGAAACAGGAGGCGTGGGCAGCAAGAAGAACATTGACGTGTAGTGAAGATCTCAAAGAAATCGGATTTATGCCTTTTTTTCAACTCTGCGATCCTTGCCTTGACTTGCGTCTCAGAAACCTGTGCTTGACGCAGGAAGAATTAGCGCCATTCAGCGCTCTGTGAAAGGGACAATGCTCAGAGTTTCCCGGCGCACGTTAGCGCAGAGCGAAATCCAGAGCTCCCAGCTTTTATCTGGAGAAATGGTTTGCTTCATGTTTCTGAGCTGAGAGGATCCAACTAACTGATTCGCGACCCGGACGAGTAAAGACGTCGCTGGCCCCGCCTGAACAAATCGCTGCTCAAAGTGATGACAGGCACTACAAGTGACCCGCTCCGTGGAAATGTGAGGCCACAGAAAGTTTCGGGCTGTTTCCATAGGATTGCTTCGAGGGTACGCGATCCGCAGTTATAGTATTCTTCACCATGCGGTTGGTTTCTTTGCATCCCTGGCTCATAATTCACAGCTCTGCTTTACAACAGCTGCACTGGGCGTTGCAGAGAAAGACAGCTCCTTTGGTCACCCATAGCAACGTTGTCCACGCTTACATTCAGTTTGAAGTAATCTCAGCAAATGTTCATTCGAAAGAGATAATAGCGCAGGCAAATAAGAGGCATCTATTGTACTGGTGTCGATGTAAAAGACAAAAAAATACGTTACTGCAACTCACTTTTTATAATGGTCATAGAGCGCACATCGCGGTAAGGAAGTGCCGTCCGCTGTTTCGTAGTTGTCCAGGAGCCATTGTATCTAGAACTGGGTAATTTAATGGAGCGGTCCACAGACTACCAGAAGTTTGTTATTTCACACAGGGCCGTGGTCACAACTAGTCGGAAGGGGTTCAAACTTTTCCACAAAAGAGCCACATCTAGTGAGGACCACCTGGTATGGATAAGGTAGGTAGACTAGTACAAACTGAGTTTTTTTTTTCAAATTTCGACTACTGACTCTCTGGAATAGATGTTAGTGTGAGACAGCCCGATAATTACTTCATTTCTTTTGTATTAGAACACTCCGATTGTTTTCCTGAACGTATACTCAACTATTGCGAGCCTTCATCTGCTCAAAACCATCAGATTACGGAATGAGCACGACGAAAAATCATCATTTGAAGTTGTTTTGCTGTATGCTTGACATCATTGCAAATCGTAGTTTACGTTAAATGTGTATTTAGCCTGCTAGCAAAATAATTTGCGGAGGTTAGTTTATGTAGTAATCAATACCTCTATCACTCCAAACTAAGTATATTAACTCCGCTGAAAACTCTTGTTGGGAATTGATGACAGCATAGGTAGAAAGCAGAACCCTCATCTTATTCCATCCCAAAATCACTCCGAAGATTTTGACGAATTATCAGACAACGTTGAAAATTTGTTCTGAGCAGCTTTTTCTCTCGACAAAAGGTTGAATAGCTCGCTTACCCGAAAAATCGCTAGATGGTCTCAACGCAGAAGCGAACTCGTATGAAGTTTGGACGGTGAATTGCAGAGATTCGCAAATAGTCATGCTCACTACAATGTTTCTCCATGTCAGAAGATATCATGGCAGACACACTGATTCTGGAGAAGTTCTTGAGGTATTGCGGGTCCCTACAGTGGTCGTAATAAGTCCACCCTCTAGTTCCTATATATTATACAATACCATCCGAATCCCGGATCGATACCTGCTTAGGCCCTCCAAGCCTTCCATCCCTCCGCGCCAGGTAATTTGGCACCAGACTCATCTGGAAGATAATAGCACTGACTCGTACATCGGCTGGCCAAGGCAAGTCACTGTATTGGCCACATACGCACTCATTACACCACTATGATTCTGAATGGAAGTCGGTCGAGTGCAGGGGCGCATTCCTCAGATGGGATTGATTAGTGCCAAAAACTTTATCCTTTTATACAATACCCTATAATAGTTAATACTCCTTTCGTGAAACCTGAACAGTCCCATAGCGACTTCCCATAAACTGCTTTTTCGAGAAATCTGAGCAGCCCACGACTCCTACATTCAGTCTGTACCAAACCGAATGATTTTGATGGTTCGCTTACTGAGAAGGTTTCTGATTTTTATCACCTCAGTTAGTCTGCGTTCATAAGTGAATCTCCTTAGAGTATGTACGCCTCGGCTTTACTCTCTTCTACCAGAATGACATAACTTAGGTTCCTTCAATCTGGGAGCTTGATTTCTGAATGCTCAGAAGCCCACGCAAGAAAAACCATTGAAACCTACGTGTATTCGGGTCTCAGGTGTCAGTTCAATACGTATGAACTCATCAGGTGTCATACTGGCTTCGGCTTCATCGCTGAAGACTACGCTTGCCTGTTCGAATGAATATTGATCAGGTTTGACAGCAGCAAAATTCAAAGGGTCGACGAAGCTCAAGGAGAGAAAGGGGATGTGGAGGATCCTAGAGGTAATGACAATACTAGGTTGGCTATAGCGAAAAGACCGAGAGGAAGTCGTGTCTCATAGTGAATGACAACATGCGAAAAAGTTGTTGTTGGCAGTATAGACTTGTGGAAATAGGCGATTTGGGCCAGTTGCTACGGCGACCATGGCCCACCACCGGAAGGCCCAAATACACTCCGCGGAGCTTGACAACAAGTGCTGCCGAACACTGCAGACAGGGGAAAAGGGTGAGAAAGTAGTTCCTAACGCAGGCTTTCTCGGGGAAAATACATTAAGGGGGAAAATCAGAGCATAAGAAGATCCTTTGTTGCGTTATTCAGACTGGAGTAATGTCTTTATGGAGCGCAACTGCACATGATTATTCCCTCACATATAATATGAATTGCAACCATCAGGCCTGCCCGTATGAACCCCCAAACTCAATATTTCGCTGTCGTTTGCTTGAAACTGATCTTGGAAACTATCGCGATGCTCGCGTTCGCGTGCCCGTCTGCCGGACACCAAGTCTGCATAATCGATAAGGTTGCTGGCCAATGGCAACCAAGCGGGGACTACGGTCATTCAGCTGCGGGCAAATGTTGTCTTCCAGAGAGCCATGTTCCACTCATTTGCGCCCTGGATCGGGAGCTGCTGAAGGCTGCCGCCTCCGGATCTCATAAACATGAAACAGGTGCGGAGTCCTATATGGCTTTTTTGGCTGGGCACCAAGGCAGTAATTACTATACGCATATTGCACCTGTTGCATCTTCATTATGAAATGCTACATCATCACGCAGCCCATGTACACGATATTCCTAGGGAGCAGGTATACAGCCCCAATGAAAGTTGACTTCCTGCTATAAGCTCAGATTATTTGGAGGAGAGATATAATTAGGCTTCTTTCTTTTTTCAGTGGAAAAGTATCTGAAAATTGCATTAAATTGAGCCCGTAAGGAGAGCGATCGCCAGACAACTCTAGCTCTCCTCCACTACCTGAGAAAAATCATCTTTGAATGTGCTAGAGACTCTGAAATAGTTGAAAACCCTGAACTGGACTCTAACTGTATATGTAAGGCTCCAACCTTCCTAACCCCTGGCAGCAAAAGTGCTTTGGACTTTGAATTTTATGAAACTACTGAATCTACCTACTTCTTTTTGCACTCGTACAGTGGAAAGAAAGGATAGAATGTTCCTGCAAGGAGAAAAAATCTCATACAACAAGCATGGTCAGACCAACCAGGAGGTTATCACCATCGCAAAAAAACGTAGTCTGGGGGGTCAATACATCATTTGTAGCGTCAGCGAACCGTGCGCATTCAATCTGTGTTAAAAGCGCAACAATAAATGCTCACCGCAGGCCACAATTGACCAGGTGAGGCACCTAATCTGCCGCTTACGATCCGCAATTCGGTCTGTGCAGATCTGCCGACCAATTATTCCCAAGCAGTCCAGATTGCCCTAATGAAGTCCTAATATCCTTTCGGTCTCGCACTATCCACATCTGCGCATCCGAGAGTCAAAAAGCACTTACAGTCGCCGGCGAGGCTCTGGTTGCAGCACCGAGTCCGCTCGAATTATCGTCCTCTACGGAGACGGGGGACTGTGAACCATGGCCATGCAGCATGTAGGACTGCGTTGGCGAATGAACATTCCCGGAATACTGAAAAAAAACAGAGTTACGGAGAGACGCTTTTTTCTGTAAGTCCTGGCTCTTTGAAAATTACCTGGTAGTAATTGTTATACTGCGTGTTGTCAGTGTAGACATAGGTGGTGGTGCTGAAAAGAACCATTGCTGTACTGGCCAACTTGGCACTGAAGCGTTTCTCGTGAGCGTGTGGGCAGGTGATTAGAAGAGACGTAAGGGAGACCTGGTAGAGGCTTTAGGTTGCCTGCCCACACCACCTGGCCACCCGGGACAGGACTGCGGCAATTAGCCGCTAAGAGAAGATTTACCTTCGAGATAGAACCACGTAATGGAAACACATTACAAAACTGGGATTGATGAAAGCAAGAACCCCTCGAATTCCTATCTTGACGAAATCCTCTACGACTTGTGAGACAAGCATAATAGAAAGCAACTGGTCGGTAATGGTAGAGTGGAAGTGTAGAAGTATGAAATGAAGCCTCTCCCATAGTCGGTGGGGAACATTATTCTGAGTGACTGGACACAGCAATAAATGGATCAGGAATTAGTGAGTTAGGAGAGAGAGGAAAACTCACGAAAGAGATCGCCTTGGAGACACGCATAGGCTCCCGTTGGCCAGACGACCGTCGTCGCCAAGTAATCGGTCCCATAGAAACACACCTCTTCCTGTTCCAAATATTCCACTCTGCCACTCTGCTACCCCAGTAAGCTACCTGTCTGACAAGTTTGTCATTTTCGCTTTCTTCACAGCCCTCTGAGGCTTCATTCGTAATATCTGTTGCCAGTGGGGCTTACGACAAATATCAGCCTTGAAGAGGTCTGTCGTCAAGGAACACAGTCTGGGAGGGTCTTCCTGGGAACTCTTGAACTGATTTCACCCTGTCTCCGATCACTGCTCCCAACATTGACGTGTCTATTATGAACTTAGTGGTAGCTAACATCGCTACTCCCTCAACATAACCGGTAAACTGCTTCCATTCAATCCCCCGCTCCTCCATATTAACTGTGTAGCTGATGAGCTTTTACTTCCTGAGATAATTTTTGCCTGGTGCTGTTATCCTAGCTCAAGCAACTCTTTTTGAGCTGGCGACCTTAAACTGGCCTCTACGTGGCCGAATCTGAATGAGCTAGCGTGAATACATGTTCTCTCTGTTCTTCTTCAGGGCCTTTTCTAATACCTGCTTTTGAAGTATCGCAAACGTTGAGACATTAACTTCACGAAATGGTTGCTTGGAAATGAGATTTTGTCTCCTGGAGAAGCGCAGCATCCGCCGGAAAGATGTGAGGAGAAAGGATGACAAATGACCGCTATCGCCGAAGATTCACCTATTGATTACGGTAGCGCGCACAATTGGCGATCTAGTACTACTCAAAACTGGTTATTCCTCACAGCAGCTCTTAGTAATGGAATAAAAAAGGACTGCACTGGAGCTTCTAAAGATATATGCACATTCCATCGGCCCTAGCAACACACATTAGAGTCCTGAATGATCCCAATAACTCAGAGCTTTAAAGGAACCGATTATTTCACCTTGTTATCTGCCTAGTGGGAAGTCAAATGAAGTAGGATAAAGAGGGTATCTGACAGTAGAATCTGCTCTGACTTTTAAGACTTACATTTAGATGAGCCCCGAGTGCACCATGGAAATGAAGTATGTAGTAGGCGGTAAGGCAGCCCTCCCGTAGGTTTCTTAGAAGTGCTGTGGACAATAACGAATTTAACAAAATTGCTCACGTGTTGTTGTTTATGTGTGAAGAGAGCGGATAATCCATTCCAAACTCTGTGACGTAGTGAGGCGCTGGAGCCGCGTATCCGGACGATTCGAGTAGTTCGGTAGGATCAGAACCTGCGACAGAAATTCATTACATGCTATTACTCGAAATTGGAAAAAAAACTTCGATTAGGTCTGAACGTTCGCTGATACGTTGAGAAATATTCTTAATTTGTCCGGAACCATGTTTCGATGTTGCTTTCCAAGTGTAATAATTACCTGTTCACAGGAATATTCACAAATATCTCTAAAAGGGTGAAAATCATGATAAATCGAAGTCTATTAAAGGCGCAACATAGTAGGTCAATGTTTTAGACGATTATTGGAAAACTCTGGTCTGTTGGAAGCCGAGTACGAGCTTTTTGAGCAGGTAGGCGGGGAGACCTTATTCGAGTGTAGTCTATGATTCCTTCAGCTTGAATTTAGCGACTTAAATTCATAAGCTCACAGAAGTAATGACGTGAAGGGAGAGCGGTGCTGACGAAAGTGCTGTAGCCGAAGATCGGGAACATTCAGAGCAGATTATAAGGCTGGCTACCTAGTGTGCGCTAGCAGAAATAGCTGAACTCTCGGTGCGGCATTGTTGCCGAACTGGGCGTTTTACATGTTTTATGTATTCTGTCCCATTGTTTCATGCTCAACAGGGCAGGTATCGTGAGTAGAAGCTACATTTTTGATGGCACTCATCAACATCCAGAAGACTATGGAATATATAGGCACACAACTCTGAGAGGCTCATGCAAAATAGCATTGAAGCTAGAGCTCCAAGAGAGAAAATTAAAAGCCTCACCGATGGTTCAGGAATGCGTACTAGTACTACTGAAGCT